GTAACAATACTAAGACTATGTCACCGGGATGGAACTTATGCTCTTCAGCCTTATGGTCATAAACATGTTACATTTTAACTTGGGATGACTTCAACTTTTCTCGAGCCAATTCACAAGCACGTAAGAGTCTGGACTGAAACTTGGAAACGTAATCCAATAAGTGCATCTCTTTTGGATTATCTTCCAACCATTGTTCCTTCAGCAACTTCAAATGACCATGCAATGAATGACCATACACCAACTTGAACTGGCTAAACCCTAACGACTCCTGAACAGCAAATAATAATAAATTAACCCCTTCATCCCAATCCTTCTATGTTATCGAGAGAATAAGTCCGCATCATATTTTTCAAGGTAGAATGGAATCTCTGAATAGCACCTGGATGATATGCACTAGATTTGATCTGTTTAGCACCGACATAAAATTTGATCCTTGATCAGATTGAATTTCTTTGAGTAAGCCAAAAAAAGTAAAGAAATTATTCAAAGCCTTAGACATTTTTTTGGTCGTAATGTTTCTCAAAGATATAGCTTCAGGGAATCGAGTGAATGCGCACATGATAGTTAACAAATACTGATTGATTTCCCGATCGAGTTTTTGGTAAAGACCCAACACAGTCAACAATCACATGACTGAAGGGTTCTTCGAATGCTGGGATAGGTTTCAGAGGAGCAACAGGAATGTTCTGGTTAGGTTTTCCGACCAACTGATAGGTATGACAAGTTTTGCAAAACTGAGAAACGTCTTGCCTAATTTTTGGCCAAAAGAAATGTCTCATAATTTGGTCACATGTCTTGTTGATACCTAAATAACCTCACATGTGGATTTCATGGGCAACTTTCAATATTTCAGAATGATATGCTTTGGGAACAACGATTTGATAAACAATAGCCCAGTCCTCTGAAGCTGGCACATCTTGTGGTCTCCATTTCTTCATAAGCACACCTATTTTTTAAAAAAATAACCATTTGGAACTTTCTACAGTTCATCTTTTGGGAGGGCAAATTTAAATAGTGAAGAGATCTGCAGATCCTTTTGTTGCTCAGCGATCAGTTTACTTTTAGTAAATGGAACTTCACTAGGTGAATCAGATATCTCACGTCCATCGTTGTTCCTCTCAGAGAAATCACCAGTAGGACAATTATCCACAAGATCCTCGTTGGATCCAAAAAATGTCTGAGACAAATCTATAATATCGTCCTCTGAATCCATGTCTATCATTTGTTTTTGGCTTAATTTCTTAGCCTGAGCTCGAGTCACAGCACATGAGGGAAACACATCGGGATTCTCCTCAACTACATCATCATCCTTAGATGAAACAGTAATCGGCTCGTTAATCATTTTAGGTTCGGTAACAACTTTTCCCCCAGCCAAATCGTTTCCCAACAACATTGATACACCCTTAATTGGTAGAGTAGGTCTTACTCCAACCACAACTGGTCCCGAAACTAGGTCTGGTGCTAACTAAATGTTATGAGG